GATTAAGTTAACAATGTGGTTGAGTTTGCTGAGAGACAAACTTTCAAACTAGCAAATGAATGAACATGAAATTTGCAGTATCAACAATGAAATTGAAAACAATGAGACAGAAATTGAAAATACCATTCTGCTTATTTAAAGAGTTTTTTTTTTATGAGATATTTATATCTTTTCACAAAGTTCACAAATAGAATGGTTCAGACTATGACCAATGTTTCTAGGATCTATAAAAATACCACATAAAGTATATTGAGGCCAAGGGCTATAATTTTACCAGAGTCTACCAGATATGTACCATTTTATTAGTTAGTCAAATCACTAAATTCAAGGGAAAAAAAATGCAAATGAAGGTTTTGGTAGGAAACTAAAGCCATCAGAGCCAATAAACCAATTCAACGAAAAACTATTATTTCCACTGGCTAAATGGACTGTCTGTCACACAACAGCTGCTTTGCATTTTCTCCATTTAACTGTTTTGATAGAATGTTAGGCTATCATAGAAGACACACTATGATACAGGTCACAGCTGGTGTCCCTCCATCAGCAAGCAGGCAAGTGACAGGGCATAAACATACATCTTCTTTAGCTGGTATTAGGAATGGTAATAAATATACTTACCTGTATGCTTCTTGAAGTTTCTCAAAAATGTATTTTCTTAGTTCTGCAGATCAGAATGATATGACATGTCATGGAAAACCTGATATGCACTGAAATTGTATTGTAATTTCAACTACATTTCCAACTGAATCACATTCTACTTACTGCACTGAATTGACCCAATGAATAGAAGAAAAGCAGAAGTGAGTTAGATCAACAGAAAAACAAAATCCAACCTTTCCAGACAAAATGTAAAAGTTTTTGCAATGCACATTCATTCAAAATATGATTCTTGTGTTTCAAGTAGATCAAGAACATTTTTAAAAGTTATGTCAAGCATGGGATGAAGTTCAAAGGTCTCTTAGCAGTGCTATGTGTGCATTAATAATGTTATTGTGTACTGATGAATTTTCAGTTGTGTATTTATTTTGAAATAAATTCAATTACTTTATTTCTGGTGGTATATTCTTTTTATTCGGAATGCTAACCAGTTATTATGTACTTTTGAGAGAGAGTGACATATGTAAGGTGAAGTTGTTTGCATTTAAAACAAGCCTTGTAATGTTTGTAAAATTACAAAAGGACATATAGATTTATTCTGATATTAATGACCAAAGACCTCTTGCTATCTTAACAATTTGGATCCAGAACAGTACATGCCAAATGGGTAGTTGTGTGATGCCAACAATAACATCAATGACACGTGATCTATGTGTGGTGAGTGCCTTTCTCCAGGTAGCCAACTGGCTTTGACCTAAAACCGCAACACAAATGTATAAATAGGGTTGGAAGGGTTAGAGGAAATTCATATTAATGGATTGCAAGTTTTCAACATATATCAGTAGCCAGACTACTATTATTATACTAGTTATATGTCTTAGATTGACATAAACTTCGTCAATGTGATAAAAACAAATACACATGTACATATCCACCAGTACCACAACCACAAGTACACATCCACATGTACACATCCACAAGTACATATCCACATGTATTAATCAATTTCTGACACACATGATATATAAATAAAAAGTATGCGGTATTACGGGTGTACTTATTTACCGCTTTATTTCTATCCGTTAGTACGTTTCAAGGTGAATTGTACACTGTAGCGATATTTCGGTAGCTTTGGTCAGTATGAAATCTACGGAAATTCTATAGTAGTCTTGTTACGAATTTAATGCTCTTAAAGTCTTTTCGTTTTACAAATCAAAATAAATTTAACAAGTATTTTTTTACAAGCTAGTTGTATTAGTCACAAATTAGTTTTAATATTACATATAATTATATTTATAACCCTTTAGTTTTTTTTTTTGTTTGTCACGTGGTGACCAAATGGAATTTGAAAGATATTCGGTTAAAATACAATCCCCGATTGAGAAACAAAATCTAAAAACGTGTTATAGTTAATGTTTTAAGAGTAAGACCGAGACTCAGACTAAGATTTTCAAGATATCAGTTGTTTCCTGTTCTAATTTTACATATTTCTCGAGTCCCATTTTTTTTTTCTTCTTTCATTTATTGAGTTGGTATGTTTTTATGTTAACTAGCCTTCTCTAATAAATATCTAGTCTGGGTGTTGACATTCCACTAAAAGTTTCCTTAACCATTGTATCAACAATGTAAATAGTAAAGTGTAGGCTCAAGACCGGTCCTAAAGCATAGCAAACGAGGCAACCGCCATGAGCCCCACGCTTTCAGGAAATCAACTCCGCAATGCAATATTTTTTCCTTGCAATATCCCGAGGTACCTATTGCGGTGTGGTCAGTAATATCACGGTATACTGCTAATTAAAATGTTTTGTGGTACAAACGCATATATATATATATATATATATATATATATATATATATATATATATATATATATATATATATATATGTATGTACGTACATACGTACATACATAAAACATTTACTCTTCAAAGAATATTTTCACCGTAACTTTCTAAGGGGAAAATCTTCATATTCAAAAACATTAGGCCGATATTTGTAAATTTAAAAATAAATTAGTTTTTTTTTAATATGGATAATTTAGCGAAATTGTTAATATCTTAAAATAAATTTCTTATGTGAAGTATATTTTTATATGATATATATTGAAAAGAAAGCCACCTAAGATCTCTCGCCTCAGCTGCGATTGAAAATTCAACATGAGCTATGAAGGTGTATTCTGGGTGTGCAAAAGTAAATTTGCAGTAGCATGGAATCATATAAGCGGACGTAGTACAAATGCAGATATGCTCTCGGAGCGACATGTTCAGCTGGAGAAAAGGCGCACCGTATTGCAATCGAACAATCCAGCCTATGGTAATCGTTTACATACATACATACATACATACATACATACATACATACATACATACATACATACATACATACATACCTACCTACCTACCTACCTACCTACCTACATACCTACCTACCTACCTACCTACCTACATACATACATACATACATACAGTCATCGAAACCTGTCGTTACCTTATACATACATAAATACATTAAGATAAATGCCAAAACACAAAATAAAAAAACAACAAAAAAAACCTGACAATCAACTATGCAAAACTAGTATCGAGCTGGGCAATTTCGACTCTTAACGAGTCTAGGCAAATAAAAAAAATATACAAGACAAACAAATAAAACAAAAACCCTTGTTGGCAAAACTTGACATTGCTGTTGCTACATGAATTAAACCTTTCAATTTATTATGTTACAACCAGTTTATTTCAACTTGCTGCGGATGCTGGAAAATATTTTTTTGACCTAGAAATCCATGAGCGATAACATTAGAAAACCAAGAAAGAAATGGATTCTTACTGGATACGCCGCCTTAGTACATTGAAATCAAGCAGTTTAAACCAAGAAGACTGGAAGAAAACAGCAATGCACAAATGAATTGTTTTTTGGTTATTTTGTTTTTGTTTTTTTTTTATTGCAGCTAACATTTTTTTTCAATAATTCTCTACATTTACATTCAGGGATATAATTTGAGCATTATAATAAATTTACATAAAACAAGACATGTCGTTATGGCTCATCGAGTTCTAAGCCAATACAAATACTTTCCAGCATCCACAACAATGTGAAAAATCTTAAACTAGCTGAAACATAAATAAATGTAAAGGTTTAATTCCTGTAGAAACAGCCATTTATAGTTTTGCAAACAACGGTTTTTGTTTCATATGTTTTTGAGAAAGAGACAGATAGACAAGAGATAAGATAGATATCGATCGATCGATCTATCTATCTATCTATCTATCTATCTATCTATCTCTCTCTCTCTCTCTCTCTCTCTCTCTCTCTCTCTCTCTCTCTCTCTCTCTCTCTCTCTCATATCTATATGTATATCTATCTCTCTCTCTCTCTCTATATATATATATATCTAGAGAGAGAGAGAGAGAGAGAGAGAGAGAGAGAGAGAGAGAGAGAGAGAGAGAGAGAGAGAGAGAGAGAGAGAGAGAGAGAGAGAGAGAGAGAGAGATAGTGTGTGTGTGTTATGTGGTGCAGCCCGAATATCCTATGTAATTGAGGTAAGAAAATAAGAAGTTACGGTACATCTTATCACTAAAATCAGACAGGATGCTAAATGACTTATTACCATTAAAGTGGTGTTTTTATGTCTGGAGAATTATCGACCACGGTTTTATAGCCCGGTTATTACCATTAAAGTGGTGTTTTTTATGTCTAGAGATTTATCGACCACGGTGTTATAGCCCGGTTATAACAAATATTAAAATTTAATGGATGAAATAAACATATTTGAGCTGAAATGTAGAGTAGAACAAAATAACTATCCGTATACTGATACCGTTTAGCCTCAACCAGCCGTCCAAGTACTGGAGGATGGGAACCCCGAATAATTCTGATGAGGCTTTGAAATTGGAAGCTAGGACGAAAGGAACAAACTGAAATATCTCCAGCCCCAGTTCAAACCATAAAAACGTCCTGTGGCTTGTCATGATGATCTTCCATGACAATACCGATGTTTCTATTTGTTCAAAAGGAAAAAAATGATGAGTCGTAAACCCTCCAGTCTCTTTGAAATTAAAATCTCGTTTTCGTCATCCAATTGACTGCACGAAGCCTGTGTAGGGTATACACCTATTCCTGTGAGAGATTGGACTATGCTTCTACAAAAGGCATAATATGGCCCATATTAGGACGTTGGAAAGAAATGAATCTGGTAGGCGACTTCCTATAGACTACTGTATCATGTCATAGGGAAAGAGAGGGTCCATGGACTTCCTCTCTTAACCCTCTAGGTACCTCGTTGCGATTAAAACAATTGTAAACTAATTGGGGTTCAGATTCATTACCAGTTGAAAACGTTTCAGGATGTGGGCGAGTTTTTTTCCGGTGTACTTTGTTTTTCCTCCGAAAAAGTGACCTCTCCAGTGGCCTAAGTGGTTAGAGCGTCCGCCTCGGATGCAGGAGGTCGCGGGTTTGAACCCCCGACCAAGCCATAACAAAAAATGGTACATACAGCTGCCTCGCTTGGCATTCAACATTATGGTGGTAATATTAGGACTGGTAGTCCTAGTGTCGAGATAATATAACTGGATAGGACATGATGCTACATGTCTGCGACTAGATATCCCAATGCTAGACACCACTAAACTACCAAACTGCAGACAACTTGGCGCCATGACTGAAATTCTTGAAAGCTACATTAAAATTCCAAATCTCCCCCCCCCTCTCACACACATCCGAAAAACGTCCGTTAACCTTTTGATGTCTCTTAAGGTAAAATTGCTTTGGAGGTGAAGGTGCTCCGCAGAGAACTCCAAAACCATCGAAATGAGTAGTCTCCATGCCTTGGCATGGTCTCTACCAATCTTAGTAACGCATCATCGATAAGTTGGGCGGAGAGATAGGCCTAGGTACCTACCTAAATCCCCACCGGAGTCCAAGGTGAGGCATTTGAGACACCAGGTGAGGTATTTAAGACACCAAGCTCTAATGTTCCCGAGTGTTCAGGAGACAGGTCTGGGGATGCAGGCTTTAAAACGTATTTACCTTACATCTTTCTACCTCTTGTCTGATCCCTTCAAATCGAAGCGGGCAACTCCCTAACCCCGGAAAGTTCCCTATTATGAAGCTGGTGAATTTCATACTCAGAAAGTGTCAAATCCCTCCTGAAAATAGAAGGGGTCTTTCAGAGATATAGACGAAATAGTGGTACCATAAATACTTCCTGAAAATAGATGGGGTCTTTCAGAGATTAAGACGATGTGGTGGTACCTTGCTTCCCGGCTCTTCAGACCAGATCCTTTGCACCAAGCAGCAAACCTCGTCAGGCCACAATCAACAAATAGGTCGTCTACATGTGCACAATAAACAGTGAAATGTCCCATGCTACCATTTCTTGCTCATATATACAAATACCTTAAGAATTTTTGAAGGCTGAAAGAAATAAACAGGAATTATAATCGGATAGAAACTTCGTAACCAGACACTAGTTACTAGCAGAGTGATAAAACAGAAGCACCAAATAGGATAAGACTAGCAAAAAGACAAATGAAATTGGGAGTAGCACTAGGGAAAAGAGAATGCAACAATAGCAGGTAATGTATTACTGCTATCAAGCATATAACTTCAATAAATGAAACCTGAAATATAGGTCATCGAGACCTTTTTTCCAAAAATATTTAGAGTTTATCATGATGCATCCACTCAACAAGTTTCTCTATTATAGGAAGGTTAATATGCATATAGCATGCCAATGTTATTACCTTAACTGAACTCCACAACATAAGCCAGCAAAATGTAGGTCTGACCTTTTGCTGAAACAGTGTGGTACTAACAGATACAGAATGAATTGGATGATATTCATGATACAAACTTGTGGAAGACTAAAAAATATTCAACCAAAGTCAGTAATGTGTAAATTTTGGTAACAGTAATCTACCCTTCACCAGTTTCATGAAAAATTTAACCATGTATGTAGAACTGAAGTACATGCATGCACAAAATTTGAGTGAACAATTTAGGCACCTTGAAACCCACCCCCAACTCTTGCCAAAGAAAAGAATGGCAGAGATTGAAATACAGTAAAGTTACACATAGCTTAAATCTGTGTGGACACCAATGTTGATGCCAGGAGTAATGCAATGTCATTGAGGGGCCATAAAATTGCACATCTAGTTTTGTGACAATGAACAAACCTCATTGGAATATGTTAATGGATCCTGAAGCTAAAACTCTGGAGTGAGTCTCTTGATTCGGCCAATCTGGGTATAGCGAGAAAGCTTGCCAGTAGCTTCTTGTGGGTTGGTGGTTCTATCAGGTGTTTTCCTCCACTATTAATACTGGCTACCATGTATAGCCAATCTTGTGCTGCAAAATAGAGTTAAACCCTACAACAACAACAACAACAACAACAACAACATCTATGCACAAGAAAAAATAGGTCAAAGTAAACTTGTTAAAGGTGCAACCTTAACTAAAGGATGATAAATGAAAACAATAGTTAGTATGAAAACTTTATTGCAAATAAATCAGATGGGTACATACTATCACCTAAATGTCTTGGTAATAATAAGACAGATTTAGTTTTGAGATTGATTTTACTCTTAAAGCCAATGAAAACATTTACATGATCAGGTGCCTTTTTACTGGCTAAAACAAGATCTACTGGTCTGCTCAAGCTTAAGTTCTGTGATCTCTTAACCTGAATGATAAGATCAGTCAACAATACTAGGTCACTACAAAGTCAGTCATACCTGCCCATGTCTGGTTCACAGCAATGCTGAAGGCCTAGAGTCAAACAGTGGGCATCATGACAGACCAGGACAAATGCCAACAAATAAACCCACCTGTTAATAATACATTTATAAATAATTTTTATGATATAATATCAGATTTTAAAGCACTGCATGATAGTCATCAAAAAGGCCAATACCATTCCATAAAAATGTAGCTGTATTTCAACTTTAGGATAATGTTGCACGGACTGTATATCAAGTCCATTGCAAAGCCTCCTATAGCCTGTAGACAATGTAATTAATGTTATGGTGTCTGATAAGGTCTGGATACAAGCTGTAGAAAGAAAACAGAACCTGTCTGTCCTAGTCAATGAGATCCTTGCCTCCAATTTCAAAAGTTGTTCAATGTTCGGACAAACAATATTCTGTACAAAGAGTAGCACTTATTTATAAATACTAACACTTAATATTCCAAAAATTAAAGTATTCTGAAAGAAACTGGTGAAAATTTATATTGGTCTTTGAAAATGTAAAACATTATCAATTTGTTTTCAATCAATCAAATCCTATGTAAGTTACAAACTTAATTTCACAGTACATGATGTGATCATACAAGATCAAGACACATTCTGGGTGACAAATCATTAAAAATATTATCCAGGTGTTGGAGATGCTTAATCAGTAGAGACAGCTATCTTATGGCTTGGACCATGGAGAAGCAGTAAACAACTGACCACTGGCCAACCAGTTTGCACATGAGTGACCATGACTAAAAATATAACCTGCAGCAGTTTTGACTGAATACTGAAATATTTCCAATTATTAAATAAATTTCTATGTACACCATTTTTCATATTTAATACAAAAATAAATCAGATTCTAGTGAACTTTTTTTTATCTAATGTGAAATACAATAATATAACAGAAAGAAATTATGGCAATTCCTTATATCTACATATTAAATTTATTAATTTCTGCACACTGACAATTGATACAAAAAATCAAAAGAATCTACATTCATAAACATCTCTAATTTGCAGAAAATTGAAATTATGTTATATTAAGCAATGCATAAATGGATTATTTGTATATTCTAATGAAAGAAATTTGTAACAAAGAATAAAATCTTGAAAAAATATTTTGTCTAAGATTTTATAAATGAAATTTGCAAAACTCAGAACATAAGTTCATCAATTGGACTGATCCTCTATTGACCAAAAAGAATCGACAGCTGTACAAGACGATTTTAACTCAAGTGCTGAAACACCATGCTTTGAGATTCTTTAGATAAGATTTTCAAATTAGCCATTTTGGTGACATAGGATATCACCATTATAATTTGGGATGCAGTAGACTTCAAAAGTTTTTTGGTGAAAACCCAAATGTCTATGATCATTTAGGGAGGTTAGTTACAATGACAAACCATCCTTTTGGAATTTTCATGGTAATCACATAGTGGCCATATTTAGTCTTTTTCATGAAGGATGAATTAGACAATAAGAACTCTGTTGTAATCCCATGCCACAATGACTTTCCAGTAGAGTTGAGTAGACATCACATTACCAATATTTTAATTACAGATGACTTTAATGTTATAAGAAGTCTTATTAAAAACATGCTGATATCAGCCTTCATGAAAAAGTAGTGATTTGCAAGATGGTCACTGGCTGTTATATATGACAACTGATGACCATCTAGGACCAAACATGTCTTCTGGTGAAAAAAACATGTCAATATGACTTTACATATTAGCTGTCAGATTGGCACCAGCTCAACATTATAACAGGTTCTTTGGAGTTATTATAACAATATTTTTAATAAGGTGGCCATATTAGATTTTCATTAAGGGTTATCATTATAATTAGTCTAATATAAAACTCCAAGTTGATATAACCATCTGTCAAGGAGAGAAAATGGATTTACAAGATGACTGCCAATGCAGTCATTTGGACATCAGATTGACACCATTTTCATTTAGGACCAAACAGACTTTGTAAAGTTTTAAAACTAAATTGTTGATATGATCATCCATTAAGGAGGAGTAGCAATAACAAGATTTTCAAGATGGCCACTAGGAATACCAAGCTATACCATTTTCATTTTGGCCCATCCAGACCACTGGAAGAATGTGTGCCCCAAGTAATTAAGGAGTAGTGTTAAGGACGAATGGATGATGAATTAAAGACCATCCCAAAAGCTCTAACAGTAAAAGGAAATCATCTTTGGATTATAACACAGTAAAACCTGTCTTGAGAGACCACTGCTATGAGAGACCAGAATCCCCATGCACAGATTTATTGATGAGTTATGATTATATGATCTGTTATGAAAGACCTATCTTGAGATTTTTTTGGCAAAAGGGGTGGTCTTTCAAGACAGGTTCTACTGACTGTGTGTGTGTGTGTGTGTATATATATAATTATACAGCATTGTTATATAAAAAAAAATTCAGTTAATATTTAACCTCTTTAGGTTGAAAACTTCAAAAAACCAGGCATGCATAGATTTCTATTGTTATTTTACACATGCAGATATCAACTGTCTACAGCACTAATTTGCTTTATTTCTATTTCTTAGGATTTAAGATATTTTACATTTTAATATCAATACATTCATAATCAGACCCATATACCTTAACAAAAAGGAAAACAAGTTTATAATCTCATCCTTGAACCTTAAAAAAACATGAAAGAATGAAACATGTTACAATACAAAATAATTGTAAAACTAGTGTGTGAGGTAACAACTTTTTCTGTGGT